CTACTGAATTGTCTTTGCATGCTTGAGATAGTCATCTACTCAGTCATGATGTAGGAGTTCACCCCAGTATATGTCTCAATATAGTTTGCTGATAGTTTCTTCAGAATTTTTGCTTTTATTTTCATAAATTAGATCAGCTTTTAATTTTCTTATATTCTTACTGTCAGGGTTTTTTTGTTGTTAACCACAGTTTTACTAGCCTAAAAATGAGTTGGAGAATATTTCCATTTCCTTTGTTACGGAATATTTTGTATAAGATACGTATTATCTCATCATTGTATTCTAGTTGTGGTGGAACTCATACAAAAACCATCTTGGTCTAGTGGGGTTTCTGTTTTTTTCATTTGCTTGTTTTTATGGTAAGATTTAACCTACTGATTTAATTTCTATATTGAATGTAAGTCTAGTCAGGTATCTGTAGTTTTTAAGTCTGTTTTGGTAATTGTATTTTTATAGAAAATTGTCCATTTCATCCTGTATTTCAAATATGGGTGCATAATTTTTTTTGTAGAATTCTCTTATGATTTTTAAAACTTCTACCAGAGGCTCAGGGCCCGTAGCAGAGTGGTTACAGCGCTGGCCACATACACCGAGGCTGGTGGGTTCAAATCTGGCCCAGGCCAGCTAAAACAACTATGACAACTGCAACAAAAAATAGCCGGGCGTTGTGGCAGGCACCTGTAGTCCCAGCTACTTGGGAGGTTGAGGCAAGAGAATTGCTTAAGCCCAAGAGTTTAAGGTTGCTGTGAACTGTGATGCCATGGCTCTCTACTGTGGGCAACGTAGTGAGACTCTGTCTCAAAAAAAAAAAAAAAACCAAACCATTCTTATTATAATTTCTTTGGCTCCTCATGAACTATTAAAAGCATATTTTAAAATTTCTGTTTCAATACGTTTTGAGGGGCTATCTTTTAATTATTGATTTTCAACGTTACAGAATGGCAGTCAGAAAATAAGATCTGTACGAATTCTTAAATGTTTGTTGAAATTTGCTTTGTGCTTGTGGTCCTTTTTTGTATGTGTTTTATGTGCACTCTAAAAGACTAAATACGTATTCTTTATTTGTTGGATATAGACTTCTTTATATATCCATCAAACAGCCTTATGAATTATTTTTGTTATTCACATCTTTAGCATTATAATTTTTTTCCTTCTTGTGCTATCAGTTATTGAGAAAGATATGTTAAAATCTCCCATGCAAGGCGGCACCTGTGGCTCAGTTGGGTAGGGCACTGGCCCCATATACCAAGGGCAGTGGATTTGAACCCAACTCCGGACAAACTGCAACACAAAATAGCTGGGTGTTGTGGCTGGTGCCTGTAGTCCCAGCTACTCGGGAGGCTGAGGCAAGAGAATTACCTAAGCCCAGGAGTTGGAGATAGCTGTGAGCTGTGACACTACAGCACTCTACTGAGGCGAAAAAGTGAGATTCTGTCTCAAGAAAATAAATAAAATCTCTCATGCAGTTGGTGAATTTCTAACTTTTTTCTTTGTATTTTGGGGCTATATTGTTAAGACCATTCAGGTTCAGAATTATCACATCTCCCTGGAGAATTGCTCCTGTTGGGTAATGCTTCATTATCCCTACATGCTTTTGGCTTAAGGTCTATTTTGCCTGATTATAATATAGCTATGGCAAATTTCTCTTGGTTATTTCTTGGTGTATCTTTCCCCATTCTTCTCTTTCAACTTTTCTATGTCATTATGTTTTAGGTATGTCTCTTGTAAACAGTATATAGCTGGATTTTGTTATCTTATCCAATGTGAGAATCTGTCTTTTAACTGGTGAGTTTAGTCTTTTTATTTTTACTGTGTGGTTACTGCTATATTTGAATTTGTTTGTATCATTTAATTATGTGCTGTATGCCATGCATTTTTTTCTCTGCTTCATTTTCCCCTCTTTTCCAATTGGTATTGAATTAATTGAATTTTCTTAATTCTTTTCTTCTTTTTACTTGATTGGAAGTTTTACATTCTATTTCTGGAATGGATAACTATTCATTTCTTATAAAATGTCAGCAAGTATACCTAACTTGACAAAGTCTGAAATTAATCATACTCTCTCTCCTCTTCTTGAACAGTACCTTAGAATGCTTTAGCTCTCATCTTCCAGTCTGACATATTCTTATTGCTTAGCATTTTAGTTTCATGTTGTCTTTATCTTCCCATTGATTATTATCAACATCATTATTATTTATTATAGTATACATTATTTTTATTTACATGTGCTGAGTAATTTTGTCTACCCCATTGTTTTTGGCAGTTCATTCTTTTCTCTTTCTTTTTTTTTTTGTATTTGTTTTTGTTACACTATGGCAAAATTAGAGCCTTCGGTGAATACATCACTGAAGCAACACACATGATAACCCACCAAGGAACATCCCATCAGCTATCCCCCTCACCCAGTATTCTTTTTTTTCTGCTAGATTTTTTTCAATGAGAGCTAAGAAGTGAAAACTTCTTAAATTTTCTGTGATCTGAAAATACTTTTATTTCATTCTTGAATGGTAATTTAGCCTACAATCCTAAACCACACCAACTTTTCCTTGCCATTTAGTGACATTATTTCAATTTTGTTGAGCCTCTTGTACGTATTTATAAGTATGCTGTCCATCTAAGTAATCAACCTTCTCTTTTTGCTTTTAAGATCTTTTTCCATATTTGAGTATTCTCCAATTGCACTGTGGTATGTCTAGGTAGAGAAGAGCTTACTTCTCACTGGGTTGATTAGTAAAGGTGTTTAGTCTCTTCTTACAGCCCTTCAGTTCTAGATTTATGTAGGAGTTTTAGTGCTAACCTTATAACCCCTCATCTCCTGGCCCTTCGTGGGCAAAAATCCAAGTCCCTCTTCCTTGCTTGCCTAATAATCACTCCAGGGCTGCCCTCATACAGGCTTTTGACTCTCCTTTTGCTTAGGATCTCTTATTCTTTTTTGTGAAGTTAGTCATGCATTAAAAATAAATCTGTTATATTTTATATAGTATTTTAAGGTGGTGGTGCCTAAGGGGAAAGGTTTTATACTAGCCTCTTCTACCAATTTTTTAGAACTAACTTTGTTGAATGGGACTATCACAATAGTCCCCTGCGTTGAGATGACATTCTCTGGGTTCTGAGTGCATGCTCCAGATTTCTCATGTTTTATTTGAGTTTTATCTTGACCTTTTGTTTACACTTAAGTTTCTAGCCCAGTTGAACATAGTAGTTAAGTTTTAGGATGGTATAATATAAATTGATTTTACTCTAATGGAGTAAATAGAGAAGTAGAGAAGTATCCAGTAATTGAAGTATGACTAGAGTCTTTCTTCCTTGGTCCTGGGTCCTTTGGTTAAGTCAGAGGTTTGCTACAAGATTTTAGTTTCTCCCGCATCTACTTGCCTCCTACTTCCAACATGTTCACTCCCAGCACTTGTTTTCCCATTCTCAGATGAATTATCCTACTTTTGCTTTATCTTCAATAGCAGTGAGAATACTCCTCCATTGATAATGTTTTCATCATGTCATTTTCCTGATGCTAATTTAGCAATAGATCCTAAGGATGTAAAACTAAACTCCTTAGCCTGTTACTCAAGACAGGAGTCTCCTATCCCTCTCTTGTCACCCTGGGTAGAGTGCCGTGGCATCACAGATCACAGCAACCTCAAATTCTTGCGCTTACGCAATTCTCTTGCCTTAGCCTCCCAGGTAGCTGGGACTACAGGCACCTGCCACAATGCCCAGCTATTTTTTTTGTTGACAGTTGCCACTGCTGTTTTAGCTGGCCAGGGCCAGATTCGAACCCACCACCCTCGGTATATGGGGCCAGTGCCCTACACACTGAGCCATAAGTACTGCCCTCTATTGTTACTTTTTGGTTGTGATGTCTTATCCTCTGGTTCTGTATCACTTCTTCATTGTGACTTTTTTGTTCACATCTTCTTGTCTGTCTTTATGCTCCCTGGTCCATATCCTCCTAGGTCATGTCCATTATTTCCTTTAAGATTCATTCCAGAAGGCCTTCATTGGTTTAACTTTTCTCCTGTATTCCTTTTAAGAAATTTGCATACATATTGGTCTCTCTCTGTCACCCAAGCTGGAGTGCAACAACATCATCAACCTCAAACTCCTGGGCTCAAACAATCCTTCTGCCTCATCCTCCTGAGTAGCTGGGACTACAAACATGTGCCACCATGTTTTTATATTTTTTTCAGAGACGGGGGTCTCTCTATGTTACACAGGCTTGTCTTGAAATCCTGCCCTCTGGCTCGGTGCCTGTGGCTCAAGTGGCTAAGGCGCCAGCCACATACACTTGAGCTGGCGGGTTCGAATCCAGCCTGGATCCACCAAACAATGATGCCTGCAACCAAAAAATAGTCGGGCGTTGTGGTGGGCGCCTGTGGTCCCAGCTACTTGGGAGGCTGAAACAGGAGACTCGCTTGAGCCCAGGAGTTGGAGGTTGCTGTGAGCTGTGAAGCCACGGCACTCTGCCCAGGGGGACAGCTTGAGGCTCTGTCTCCAAAAAAAAAAAAAGAAAGAAAGAAAGAAAAAAGCAATCCTGCCCTCAAGGGATCCTCCTGCCTCACCCTCCCAAAGTGCTAGGATTACAGGCAAGAGCCACCATGCTTGGCCTCTCCTTTATTCTTTCTCCTGCCACATTATATAATTGGCCTATGCCTTTGTGCATTTTTGTTATTCTGTTTTTATTCTGTGGTACTTTCATAAAGTATCTTTTTTCTACATTAGCTTGTGAACCCTCATGGTATAGTCCCATGAAGGACTAGAACTATTAACATATTGTACTTCTTCCCACAAAACTAGCACTATCAAAGTAGAACATTTGAATTAGGAGATAAAGTCCTTTTTTCCTTTGAGTTGTTTACAGTCTTGATAGATAAAACTTAATAAAATACGTAGCCAGTAAAACTGTCTATAATTAAATGTTAGACTGTGTGCTACTGATTCTAAATGCCTCAGGTACTATAGAAATGTTTCTGAATGTGTCTTCTTTTGTTGTATCATTATAGAAGCAGAGAAGATTGCACAGGTGGCAAAAATCCGGTTTCAGCAGAAGGTGATGGAGAAAGAAACTGAAAAGCGCATTTCTGAGATCGAAGGTATATTGGGGAGAGTATGAGGCTCTGACTCTCCTGAATTGGCTCTGTGCTTCAGAGATTGGCTCTTGATTGTGTTGAGTGAGAAGGCCATAGACAGAATAATCTGGTCTGGAAGAAGTAACTAGTCTGATATTCTGGACAATTTAAAAAACACTACTATTACATTATCTAGCTCTTAGTTTGGTTTGTGACTGTGGGTAGCTCACCCTTCCTTTTCCTTCCTTAAATTAGGATTTATTTCTTGACACTTTATTCTCAGGTAAAATGTGAATATTACCCATAATCAATTATAAAGAATGTACAAGATAATAAAGCCCACTATCACTATCAGTTTGTTTTCCACCTGTCTGAAAAAAAAGAAACTCCAGTTTTCACAGAGGATCTCAAACTCCTTGATTTCACATATCTAAGCTCACAGTCTTGAAAATACTTTTGCTTATATACTATGCTTCCTATCTTTTTCTGTTAATTCTGAATCAGATTTGGAGTGGCTGAGACAACATGGTAAATAGATCAGAACTTTTATGTGTGGACTTAATTATTGTACTTGAAACCTAGAAGCTGGATGGAGTGAGGTTTTGGGTGGTAGGAGGTGGAAGAGGCAGTGGAGGAAGGAAGGAACAACTTAGTGTAGAAAACAAGTGGACTCAGATGAACTGAGTTATTCAATAGTGACAAGAGTATTCCCCTTTGAGAAGGAGCTGTCTAGGGACTGGGATTTGAAAACTGCTTAAACTTTCAAACTGAAATAAGCAATTGAAATATTAAGCAGTGAAGAAAGGGACTCTTAACTAGCTGAGGGAATGTATTGGACATTTTCCTTTGTTTTAGATACCCTGACTCTGTTTTACTTGCTAGATGCTGCGTTCCTGGCCCGAGAAAAGGCAAAAGCAGACGCTGAGTATTATGCTGCACACAAATACGCCACCTCAAACAAGGTGACTGGCTCTCCATGCTGCTCTCCTAATGATACAGTTTAGCAGATTTGCTTTCCCTTTTCAGGGGCTCTAATATGATAGAGGTGATTTTATCCAAGATCAAAGGTAGTGACCAAGACATCCTCCAGAATCAACTAGTCATTTTGCAAGATATATTACACAGTCATTGAGTAGTGAACTTTGTATATTCCTTATGAAAAGTGGAATAGGACATAGGCAAAAAGATTTATAAACACAAGTCAAATACCATAAATCTGTTCATTTGTACTTCCGTATAAAAGCTCAATAATCAGTAAAATTGAAGGTCTTCTCCTGAAATGATAGAAGTGATAGGAGAAGAATAAAGTTTATTTAGAATAACAAATAAGGTAGCTTTTTTGTATAGATGCTAAGCTTGTTTGGAGGAGTATTTTCTTATCAGAAATCTTCTTTGCATCTGACGGGTAAGATACATCTTCATTATTAAAGACTATCTCATGCATTGTAGGATATTTTGTATTTCTGTCCCTTGCCTACTAAATGTCAGTAGTGCTCAGCACTTGTTTTAGCAGCCACATACACACATTTCTAAATGCCCCCAGTACTCCTTTTTATTGGATTTTAAAAAACTCATATTCCAGTCATGAGGAATTTTATGTGAGATAACTTGAGAAGGGGCATTTAGTGATACATGGTTCAGCAATTTCGTGTAAGTCATTCTGGAGTAAGCTAGCTAGAGCGTACAGGCCTAGTGAGCAGGAGTTATTTAATTAAGAGGCAGCTAAAACCTCTATAGTAAGGGAGGGATATATATCTCCAAGATTTATAAAGTTACTAATTGTAGAGTAGATTGGAACAAATAAGGGGTTGAAATAGAGATTGCTAAGTAGTATGATGCAGCTTGAAGGATTAGAATTAAGATTTAAGGTACAGGGTGTAATCTTTGAATTTAGAAAGGAACAAAAGAATCTATATTTAGAAGAAATGAGAGTTGTCAGTCTTTGAAAACATTGGAGGACATAGCTCTATAGAAACAGAATGGAATTTGGTCAAGATGAAGGCAAGATAGGAAACTTCAGTTTAGAAAACTAGCAGTCTAAACCTATAATAAGAGAAGCTGGCCAGGCATAAGTATAAAGACCTTGCCTTTGAGATTAGCCTCATTCTGAAAGGGTCAGTAGTTTTATGCCATGTTGAAAAATGCTACTCAGATACCAACCTATATTGAGAAGGCCTTAGGAAGTAATCTAGTTGTGTACTATGACCAGATTTGATTGCAGTATTTCATCTGATCCTGTGAATCAACTGGACAGGGTAGAAATCCAGGAGGTAAAAGGTGCTGGAGTGCAGAAAATAGATTTTGTAGAATTATGAAGTACAAGACAGACTTTTGCCTTGGGGACAGGCTGAGACTGAAGACAAGGAAAGTGGCTTTGGGGTTTGATGCCCATAGCTCCGCGGTTAGGTCACCAGCCACATGTACCAGGGCTGGTGGGTTCGAACCCAGCCCAGGCCTGCTAAACAACAACAACAACAAAAAATAGCCAGGCTTTGTGGCGTCTATAGTCTCAGCTACTTGGGAGGCTGAGGCAAGAGAATCGCTTAAGCCCGAGAGTTTGAGGTTGCTGTGAGCTGTGACGCCATAGCACTCTACTGAGGGTGACGTGGTGAGACTTTGTCTCAAAAAAAGTGGTTTTGGGAGATGTATATATTCTGGGAGAGTAGTGGAAGTGAGTTTTAAACAAACCCCAAGAGGTTTTGGTTGGATGTATCTTGACACCATGATTTCAAAAAAGATTGCAGCAGAGACAGAGATCTGGTAGTTAGCAAACATTTGTCACAAACATCTTTTTAAACATCTAGCTTCTGGGAAGAACAAGAGGCCAAATTCAGGTGACTTCTTTAGATTTTTTTTCCAGTTCTAGAATTTGGTCACAAAGAGCAGAATCGCAGGTGATTGATTATAAGATTATGAGCCCAATCCCTTTCCTTGAACCTCTGCCACTCTCATCCATTGACCTATGTACCTCTCTCAAGAGACTCAGCAGAAATTCTAGACTTGTGTCAGTTTGAATTCAGCTTAAATGAAACAAAGTGTATATAAAAGTACTTTGTAGGCCTTATAGAAGATGGCCAAGAAACGGTACAGAAAGTCACCATGGAAATACTAGTTATTATCATTGTTACACAAAATTCACTCCCCAATTCTTTTATTAAAAAGCAAGTAACTTTCCCTGTGTTAAGATAAGACAGGAGCTTGTTGAAGCAATTTAAAATTAGGAACTTATCTAGTAATGTGATAGCTACTCTCCAAAATGAGAGAGGGTTATTAGGAATCAGTCAGAATTGAGTCATTAATACTCAGAAAAGTAGTAGGAGAAATGATGTAGGAAACCAGAGAGATAACTGTTGCACTGAAGTATTCTGATGCCTTTGCTCTTGTTTGCTCCCACACAGCACAAATTGACCCCGGAATATTTGGAGCTCAAAAAGTACCAGGCTATTGCTTCTAACAGTAAGATCTACTTTGGCAGCAACATTCCTAGCATGTTCATTGACTCCTCTTGTGCTTTGAAATATTCAGATGTTAGGACTGGAAGAGAAGGCTCCCTCCCTTCTAAGGAGGCTCTTGAACCCTCTGGAGAGAGCCTCATTCAAAACAAGGAGAACACAGGTTGATGCAAGAGGTGGAAATGTTCTCCATATCAAGATATGTGGCCCAAGGGGTTAAGTGGGAACAATGGTTGTACGGACTCTTCAGTTTTACAGAGAACATGTGCTTCCTCTGTTCTGCCTCTCCTGTGATAGTCTTGGTTTATCAGCTGATTGCAGGATAGAACCAGCTGTCTGGCACCCAAAATGGTCTTTTCAGCCACAGTTTTATCAAGTATCCTGTATGTGTTCCTTTCTAAACTCAAGTATTCATGAACAAGGGAAAGTCTGATGCTAAGATGCTGCCTGCACTGGAATGTTAGACACTAAATATATAACGAGCTGTGTTTTTCTAAGCTGAAATCTATTGAATAATGTTTACATTGGTCCCTGGGAAAGTGTATGCTCAGGCATTCAAGAGATGGGAGGCCTGAGAGAAGATATCCAGGATATGGTAAGTTAATGAAGACTGATTACATCTGGAACCCAGGCTCTCTCTCGTTGGGGTCCAGTCTCAGCATTCATCCATGTGATTAAGATACAGGCCACTGAAGTTCCCCAGGAAATGATCTTCCACTTGAGCAACCATTAACTTGATACAATTTGCATCTTTCTGTTTTCCTACAGTCAAGTTGGTGGCCTGCAGGGACCTGTGTTTTGCCTTCCAACCAGAGATTCCTAATCACTACTTTATTGCATTAGTTGGCTCAGAGATAAAGAAGGCTTGGTTTGAAGTTTTGGGTGAGATGAAACCTTTGTTCTGAACCAAAGTTCTGGGCCCTGCATTCCACTGGGTGATGACTATCAGCATCACTGCCCCAGGCTATGTGTAACTAAGGTGCCTGGTTTTAAGCCACAGCCAACTCTTTATATGTTACTACTGTTTAGCTGTGGCTGGCTAAGAGCAGGATAGGCTTTGATCAGAAATAGGAGCAGCATACAATTCCTGGCCATTCACTGCACAGTATTGTATCATATTTGCAGGAAGTTTTTAATTTTAGAACTGGATTTGGGGTACATTCATTTATCCCAGCACTTCATTCTAAAGGCTAAATCCTAGGGCAGCCATGATACTAGCACACTGACTCTCCTTTGTACTGTTCATCAGGAGTCCTATATAGTGTGGAACAAAGAGTAACCTAGAAAGCAGCCTTTGGCATCTTTGTCTCCTCTCCCAGCCCCAGGATGCTTAAATCAAAGTTGTTTCTCCAACTTTTCACCTTACTAGGAGATCGTGACTGCTGACCTGGGCAGCCAGTGAATTTAATTTTCCATGAGAGGATGACAGAATTAACCTGTGACTCTAGGAGACCGACTTCATCTGGACCTTTTTATCCTTCAGAATAACTTTCCTGGAACAGTGTGCTTCATAGTTAGGCCTGAATTTATGAACTTGTTAAAATATCCCTTTTGTATTCTCTATTGGAGCTAGACAAAAAAGTCACGGGACCACTTCCAGAAACCTTTCAGCTGTTAGTCCTGTCCGTCTCATGACAGCTTGTGGGTTGTGCCAAACACTTCATTGGGAAAGGAAAGCCCAGATTTGAATGGGTCTTTTCCCTGGGCCTTATACTATAGAGGTGTAATATGGTGATTTTTTGTTGTTGTTGTTTTTGCTCATTTAATTCTACAAGTTCTCTTTATGAATGAATTTTGGGTTCTTAAAAACTTTTGAATTATAAAAATAAATTCCTAAGCTGTCATATTGTTGCTACAGATAAATAATGATTGTTGTGGGAAATCTGGATCATTGACCTCTGTGCTTTCATTCCTAGAAATATTTTCTATTCATATGAGCAAAAAGCTACTGCCCCAAAGTGATGGCTATGGGTTTTCTTACTAGCCACAAGCTGTAGTGACAAGGCTGAGGAGCAAGGGAAAGGCTGTTGTGACTTTCTAAAGAAAGCACTTCCACTTAAACTCCCCATGGAGTTTGCTTCCCTGCACCCACTCAGTGAGCCCTAGCTATCCTTCAGGGATGTTCCTTTTGGTAAGATATACACTGTAATCTTGAAGTCTAAATTTATATGTGAAATGCTGCCTTTTTTAAAATAAGAAACTAAATAAAATTATTTTGCTATCAGTGATTTGTGTTCTTTCTCAAGTGACTCCATTCTTTTCTGTTATCCTAACATGGCTATCTTGGTCATTCCAGTACATAACCAATTTTTTTGCCAGTTTAACTTAACTTTAGAGGCTTTTAAAAATACCTTTTCCAGTATACTGCCTAACTGGTATAAGAATTTAAAAAACAGACTCGGCGCCTTTGGCTCAAGCAGCTAAGGCGCCAGCCATATACACCTGAGCTGGCGGGTTCAAATCCAGCCCAGGCCTGCTAAACAACAATGACAACTGCAACCAAAAAAATAGCTGGGCATTGTGATGGGCGCCTGTAGTCCCAGCTACTTGGGAAGCAGAGGCAGGAGACTCGCTTGAGCCCAGGAGTCGGAGGTTTCTGTGAGCTGTGATGCTATGGCACTGTACCCAGGGCGACAGCTTAAGGATCTGTCTCAAAAAAAAAAAAAAAAGAATTTAAAAAACAGGATGTCCACTCTTTCTTGAATCCTGGAATTTAACAAGGGATGTTCTAGTTCCTTGTGGGACAGAGATATTAGGAAGGGGGAGGATTAAGTGTTGTATCCCTGGGAACTTCCCATAAGAGCTAAAATGCTTTTACACTGAGAAGGGGAAGATAACCATCGATGGTGGAAGAAAAACAGTTTGTATAAACTATAACTGATAGTATGATAAAATGACCTTCACCAACTCAAATGTTATCAGCCCAAGAGCTGGGGTTGGACCCACTGTTCCCAAATGTTCTACATTCCATACTGGGGACAGTTTTGTGGTGATATTAGGCCAGCAGTGAGTGGAAATTGGCAGTTGTGGGGCACCCAGCTCTCCCCTGGGATCCAACCCATACGTCAGCTGCTGAAGACCACTTTACCTGATGCAAACCAATTATCCTGTAGGCTTTTGGTGGGTATTTTAATTGCCTCTTCTCTGGGGGATGAATTCCCTGAATTAGAGCTGTGGCTTCTGATTGCCACAATTAAGTCCCAAATGTGTGCACACAAAGCTTTCAGATATGGCCCCTGCTGACTTCTCCAGGTACCCTTCTCTAAGGTCCCTAAATACACCTTATCTCTGTCCCTTTGCTTGTAGTGTTCCATCTCCCTGGCTTATTTCCCTTCTCTTGTGCCAGCTTTCCTTTGTTACCTCCTATTGAGTCTTTGTCACTTCGTCACAGAGGTCAACCTGAACTTCTTGGCTCAGGTTAACATCCTTTATTTTCCCCTCTGTCTCACTTCATATATCTTATTTTCTGCTTAATGTCTGTTTTTACACATGCTAAACTCTGTGAGGGTGGACAGTCCTGTACCCTGGGGCTTGTATTATGTATCTGTTGTTAATAACCTAACATGGTGCCTGGACTATAGGAGTTGGTCAGGATTTTTGCATGAAAGAACAAAAGATTAAATGTGAAATGCAGGTAAGTGCAGGCAGTTGACCAGTGGAAAAAAGGACTTAGAAGTTAGGCTGGTGTCCGGGTCAGAGCTTAATGTGTAACCATGAGAAGTTACCTAACATCTCTAAACCTATTTACTCATCTTTACAGGGCAGCTCTTCAGTGGGTTCAACATGACAGGTGGTACATCTAGCATAGTATTTTACTCATGGTAATTGCTGGGATATAGTAATGCATCTAGTCTAGTCCATAGAAGTCAGTGTACGTTTCTGTTTTTGAGTAGACTGTAAGTGCCCATAATGGAAAGTGAGCACAGTACCTGATACACACAAGTGCATAATAAAACATCTTGATTTATGTCTTCAGCAGCTATGAGCTAAGATAGCAGGATTTTAAACCTCAACCACAGCCCTCCACAGCCCTCTACAAGTTGGGTCAGCTTTTCAAATTCCTCCTGTTCTCTTTTCTTTATATAAGCATTTAGAATTGATTTACTGTTATCATTGCTCACTACCAGTGTCCATTCTCACACAGACCATAATTCAGAATGATTCATTTCCTATACCATATTTCTTTGGAATTGGTACCTATCTTTCCTTCCCACCCCCCCTTATCTCTTTCAATCCACTTTTCTACTTGCTATCATTTCCATTTTTTATCAGTAAAAATGTCTCCTCCTGGGCAGCGCCTGTGGCTCAAAGGAGTAGGGAGCTGGCCCTCTATGCCGGAGGTGGTGGGTTCAAACCCAGCCTGGGCCAAAAACTGCAAAAAAAAAAAAAAAAAAAAAAGTCTCCTTTTCTTCCTATAAAAATTTATTGAGGATCTACTATATACTGATTGTAGAGGCAACAAAAATGCATATAGCTTTGTTGGGGGTGGGGGGCAGTGCAGCAAGTAAGTTTAATAGTGAGGTAAATACCACAGCAAGGTGAACATGGGGTGCTAGGTGATGCCCCAATAAAGATCACCCCAGTCGTAATTTCCAGAAAGCAGTGTCTAAGCTAATTTGTTTGGGGTGGATGGGGGCAGGAGCCAGCTGAAGAGGTTGACAGTGATGGTAGAATGTTTTCCAGGCGTTATTAGAACTGCATGCAACTGCCTTTTAAAATGCAGTTAACTGGCCGGGTGCAGTGGCTAACATCTGTAATCCCAGTACTTGGGAGGCTGAGTCAGGTGGAATGCCCGAGCTCACAAGTTCAAGACCAGCCTAAGCCAGAGCAAAACCCTGTCTCTGAAAAATAGCTGGGCATTGTGGCAGGTGCCTGTAGGCCTAGCTACTCAGGAGGCTGAGACAAGAGAATCACTTGAGCCCAAGAGTTTGAGGTTGCTGTGAGCTGTGATGCCACATCACTCTACCGAAGGTGACCCAAGTAGGACTCGGCCTCCAAAAAATAAAATGCAATTAACTGAGTCCCCAGCTTCAATAGTACCAGGAGGCATAAGAAGCTTTCCATGGCAAACCGTTGAAGGCCCTGCTGTTACCTTCATTTTACAGCTAAGATTTAGGGAGTTTACTTCACCCAAGATTCCATGAATAAATGAGTGGCAAAGGAAGGATTTGCCCAACTATTCACATTCTAGATCCAAGTTTTTTACCACAGCCCTTTACATTTGCCCTGAAGCAATTATATTCAGGACAATGCAAACTTTAGGGTAGTTTTCAGAGGATGTGTGAGATGTAACAGAGGTCAGAAAAAGGGATAAATGCATGGCTTATGTGTGATATGAAGTGGTGACCTAGAAACTGATTTTGTCTGCCTTCTGCAGGGTTTGAAAGAAGGGCTGTAGGTGAGATGGACAATAGAACACCTAATTCCAGAAAGATTAGCCCTTTACATCCTGGAGGAGCAGCTCCCTTTTCTGTAGGAAGCAAGTGGAGCTGAATGACACAACAATGGACTAGCATGAGGTATGCTCTGGAATACCACATAGATCCCGTTTGCAGGTAGGAAGCACCCTTCTTCCTGCTGTAGCGTGTTAATGCTGACTGCTCCCAGCTTAACTGCTCTGCAAAAATTTCCTGTGCCCAAAGAAAGTCCCCTTGCCCAAGGTCATACCCCCTCTCTGGGGACAGTACATTTAATAAGTGGTTGATGGAAAGGCTGGTAGAGTTACTTGAACCAGGCAATTCGTCCCCCCAAATTTGCATTGCTTGTTTGCAAGTGTGTCAGGATTTGCATCTTAAATAGGTACAGTAACCACAAATGGAATTCAGACACAAAGTTGTGACAAGTGGTGTATCTGATTCCTCTGGCACGCTGTCATAATTCTGCTCAACCTCACCTCTAATTCTAGCTGTAGCTGTGCTGGACATTTCCACACAAACATCACCTCCTCCACCTGCATCTGATACACGCACTTCACATGTTGTTTTTCACCTGAGTGCTCCTCCAACACTACTGTGTCAGTCCTGCACATCCTTAATCTAGGTAGGCACAAGCATTAATAACCTGGGACAACTAGGTCCAAACTAGTAGGAGGCAAGAGTACAAACGGGTAGAGAGGAGGTGATTCCACACATTATTTCGACAAAGACAATAACCCGCCTGACACAGCAGGAGAAAATGATGTGACCATCAAATTAAATACAATTCAATAAATGTTTGCTGGTGTGTGCCAGGAAACCTAAAACATGCAAAGTAATGGACCAGCAGTGAACAATACAACAAGTAAGATAGAATCTCTTCTCCCCTAGAATCAACACTCTCACAGAAGATAGATCTTAATCAGAGAATTCTAAGTATGTTGTTAAAACTCTCTAAATGAGAGAAATGTAGTGCCAGGAAAGTGTAAGAAAACAGAGGGAGAAGATAAGGATGAGGAAGAACAGTAGCCAGTTAAAGTCAGGTGATAATAGGAAGACAAGCTGATTTTCAAATGGGCAAAGGATAGCAATAGGTGACAGTTCTGCAGAGAAGATAGCCAAAGGGCCGGTACCAACATGAAAGATGATTACCATCATTTTTTAGTCATTACAGAAATGCAACAAAATACTATTACATACATTATACAAGCCATTATATAATGGCTACATTTTAAAAAGTGTTGACAATGATATGAAGAAATTGGAATCTTCATACATTGCTGGTAGGAATGTAAAATGCTGTCACTTTGGAATATCTTTTGACAGTTTCTCAAGATGTTAAACAGAATTACTGTGTTAGCCTATTTTGTGTTGCTAT